TATTGGCCGTTCAGCTCTTTATTAGACCAATCAGGCATTTTAGACAAGCAGAGTAACACAGCTTCACAGAGTTAAACAAATGCAACATAAAAGAACGCAGCACATCTTTGTATCATTAAGCAAAAATTCCATAGCATAAACAAATGCAACACATCTTAAATTAATATTCCACAACAATGTTTAATCAGTCCAGGTGCCCACTTCAGAGGCTTAAATCTGCCTTCACTTACTCTAGGTGCTTGGGGGAGAAAATCTCTTTTATGTGTTCAATTTCTGCACTCTCTCCTAGGGAGAAGGGAGACCCTGGGGGCTGAGGACATTAGCAGTCAGAAGTACCAGTTGGGGGACAAGCAGACATGTTTGAGAATTAGCCTCTGGCTTACTGAGGCTTGGTTCTCTTTAATAAAGGGGGAAAATAGTTCCAAATCTCAGTAATGACTCCAAAAAAATTGTGGGGATGACATTTGGTAATACATGTCAAGTGCTGCAACCCTGGAGCAAGAACCACAGACACGAGCTAGTTACAGTTTTTTTTTTTGTTTGTTTGTTTGTTTTTATGAGTGACCACCCTGCCTATCTACAGCATCAGGCACTCCAGAGCTTAAGTCTTCTGGGTAAATGATGCTTTGCACATGGAGCAGAATTTGTGATGCCAAACGCTCCCTGGCTCCCAGCCTTCTGGGCGTGAGGGTTTAATGGGACAAAGGTTGTCAGGAATTGGGACTTCAACTTGGTCTAGAAGCAGCAGCCTGTGAGTTAAGTTGCATAGGCAATCGGCCACCAGATGCTAGGAACATCATTGTTCTGCCTGATCTGAACAAGGAAGGAAGGGCATGGGTGGACAAGGTGGGAGGAGAAGGAATCCAAGGGTGACGTGACCACAGGTGCCTGTGGAAGAGAAGCATGAACAGTGTGAATGTAATCTGAATGCCTCTGTTGTCCGACTGCGGTCCCTTTAGAAGCATCCCAGCTCCTTATCTGTCCAAATAAAAGATTTCTTTAACCGCAATGAAGCCAATGAGCTTGAATCAGCTCTGCCACTGCTGGAGACAAACTGCCCTAGCAGGTCAGACAGGCCAAGGGAGACCTGCAGACCCAATGAGCTCACTTCCAGAACTTGTGCGTCCTGATCAACTCCTCTTTCAGGGGTTGATACTGGAGGGAACCTCCCTGTCATTAGGACTTCCGGGGTGGGGGGTGGGGGTAGGGAGTGGGAAGTGCAGTCTCTTCCTACACAACCTTCACAGAGAATATACAAGCAGGGTTTCCTCACCTCCTTCCAAGAATATATATCCCTGCCCTGCCCCCCTGCACAGAGGTGGCTGAGTCACTGGCCCATGGTGTTTAGAGCCAAGCTTTCCCACAGGGAGAGACACAGGCCTGTGTGGACCCTGCAATCTAGGAGAAGGCTCTGGGCAAGAAGGGATGGAGTGGTCTTCCTTAGGTCCTGGGCCTAAGTGCATCCCCAGAACACTTTCCTGGTTGGGTTCAGACAGGTTCCCCTGTGCAGTGAGCTCTGGACCCTTCCTCTACACAGATAACCGACAGGGCTTCCGGCATATTCCCTAGAATGCTCATCTGACTTCCTGCCTAGGGTTCCCCACATGAGTAAGAAGCTGGCATCCCAACAAGAGGTGTGCCAAGAAGAGGGGAAGGAACGTCCATTCTTGTGGAACTTTCAGTCAGCTACAAATGTTCCCTCGTTATTCCGACTTATTCCACTTGTCTGCATTCTTGAAAGCCACCTAAAGCTCTTATGAAGAAGGCAGACTTCTTGAACGATAGTCTGGCCTGTATCTTGAAGAGGTGGGGTGTGAACTGTGATTGTGTGGAGGAAGTTACTCCCCTGCCATGACCCAGTCATAGCTAAGACTCATGGGAAGTTGAGGGTGTTGGTGATATGTCAGCCTGTATGTGCAGCTCCAGAAACACCTGCTATACCTGTTTGGAAGAGGATCATATGGCACCCGGGCAGAGCTCTTTCTCCCTGCACCACAGAGGGGAAGGACGGGAGAGCCTCACCTTAGGAAGCCAGTCCCTCTTGGTCAGGGGCCCTTGTTGCTCCACCTCACACAGCTTCTGACACCTTCCGCAGGTCCCCAACTCTTACCCCCCAGTTGCTCCCAGGCTTCTAGGCACCCAGCCTCCCCTGCCCCACTGTGGCTTCCTCTCCCTCCCT